TATATATACATACACACACACACACAACACACACACACACACACACACACACACACACACACACATATATATATATATATATATATTAGTGAAGGCAATGATACTCACTGACGCGAGGCACAATACATTCCTACAGGAAATAATCAACGGCGACAAAACGATGGATGTGGTCACGTACATGATATACGCTGTGCAAATAGTCGCCGGCATCGTTTTGACAAGTAAGTCTATAAAGAGTTGTTAGCGGATGTTCTGTAGCGCGCACGCACACACATGTCCGAATGCACATTTCTGCCCACAATGACAGTCAGCGTTAAGGTTAGTGTTGTCAAGCACAGAGGTATTAAATACCGGGGCATGGGAGTCACCCGGTGCTTTAGATTTGGTTCACTATTCATTCTACATGAGCGTGTTCAGGTAGTACTCACACAGCTACACGGCTATTCCCAGAGTAGTGCAGATAGTCGCCCACGAGTGTTTGTCTTGGGGGTTGTGGGCTATACACGGGATCGGTGTATACAGACTTGGTGTCTGGGTGGCATTGTGTCGTACTTATACAGTGTGGTTTCTATGTCTTCCCTCGTTCTCAACAGCGGGAGTGTTCTACAAGGCCAAGATAGAGCTGTACAAAGCCACCCATGACTACGAAGCGGTCGACTCTCTGGAGTTACTATCTACCGACGAGGCAGAGCCAATGGAGGATAGTTGATGATACACATCATGCGTACGTAAACGTAATATAGCCATCCTCGAGCGAGGCTATCCCGTCACATGCACGTGTATGTTCACGTGTCAGTGTTCAGGCCCACCAGAATGCCCACCCGTGACTCCCTTACAATCACCGTAGATTCAGTGTGCTTCTTTGGCGGGTGCTCTGCGAGGGTTCGTACCCGGGAAAGCATTAGAGAGACCCGGCACATGTGCAGTATGTATAACACACGCTTAGGGCATTGCATGCACATCGCTCGAGTGAGCGGGAAGACTCATTGGTTCTCCATGCGTATTGGTACTGCATATGTGTTGTACAGGAGTCGTAGTCAAGGGATACGATACCCTTCTGCGAGGCAAGCGCGGTTATGAGGCGGTTATGTATAAACACGGGGGCGTTCCTGAATCGAGGCACAGACCAACCAGAGACAACGTCAGATACATCTAGGCAGTACATTCACATAAGTTATGTTATAGCCTATGGTATATGCATGCAGGCACGTTGAGAGACAGGTGTAGTGTATCATTATATCTTGGTTATGGGGAATTGCATCTTCTGGCACGACCATCTGCAAACACGCTCGTAGCCGTAAGTGCGAAGCCTGGGGAGCGCAACTAGACCTGCCCCAATGACTTATGTGCATTGCATTCAATGTATTGCATTCATAACTAGGGTACGTTCGTGTCTGAGTTGTATCCTATCCTAATGAATATCATCGCCATGAATAATGGAATGAATAGGTAGGGTCAGACGCATTGCATCTCAATGCGTGCAACAAAATCACAGCCTGCAGGTGCCACAATCTGAGGTCTCGCGCAGCACACTCAGAGTGCGCGCGCGAGAGCGAGTCTGCAGCTATGTTCTCATCCCGGTTACATGCTGGTAGAGTTGGTCTCCTCGTAACGGCACACCAAGCTATATGACGTCAACAAGCCCACAATCCGACAATCCGACAATCCGACGAGACAAACACAGCCACGGCGACAATGCATATTGACAACATGCAAACCCAAGAACGAACTGAAGGTTGCGGGTCAGCAGATTATAATTCGAGTGAGGATTAGTTCGAGTCTGTCCACTAGGCCTGAAGTTTCTTCCGGTTGCTATTTTTAGATTGGGCCACGTGCGCGTCTAGGACGACATACGCGCAGTATTGCAGTTAAGTGAGGGAGAAGAGTGCAGGGATTGGCAGGTGCTATGCACCGGTGGCTGATTACTTGGGAGGGGCTGTGGAGTGGGGGTCATAGTATGGTGGTCTCAAATGCAAACGAAATACAGAGGCCGAGCATGAGCATAATGTTGTATATAGCGGGTGCACTCTTCTACGGAGGATGGGCGAATCTTCTATGCGGAGGTATGTACAGACAAGTACTTTACGAGTCCCGGAAGGCGCTATGACGTTGAGGAAAATACATCTAGATAGCAGGCGGACTAAAGCACGCCAAATAACTAAAACAGTCTACGAAGCCTTCGACACCGACCTTCGGTGAGGGGCGCAGCTTAGCAGAGAAGCGCACTATAGCACACGCGTGTGTGTGTACACATGCACATTATAGCACACGCGCGTGTGTGTACACATGCACATTATAGCACACGTGTGTGTGTACACATGCACAATATAGCACACGCGTGTGTGTGTACACATGCACATTATAGTACACGCGTGTGTGTACACAAGCACATTATAGCACACCCGTGTGTGTACACATGCGCATTATAGCACACGCGTGTGTGTGTACACATGCACGTTATAGCACACACGCGTGTGTGTACACATGCACATTATAGCACACGCGTGTGTGTGTACACATGCACATTATAGCACACGCGCGTGTGTGTACACATGCACATGTGTTGATCTGTCACACTACGACGTGATGTGCTGCCATGCGAATAGATCTGGCAGCAATCTGCTGTAAGCAATAAAATAGATATATCGCCGGCTTTGTGATTGTGTTTACTGGCCCTCCGGTATTGGGGAAGATTCGTATCTATATAGCTATAATCTACTGAATACTAATAAAATCACCTAGAACCTCTGCACACAACACCCGCCTTGTAAGTAGCCAGATGAGTTATTGTAAATCCGAAAATGCCAGAGAACAATTGTTTGTGCAACGGTAATCATATGGCTGGCAGTCAGCACGATACGCCACATGCCATCAGCTGACAACTCTTTCAGTATACATTAGTGTGAAAGTGAAACTCATGACAACTCTGCAGTATAGTAATACGTTAGAGTGTAAAAACGAAACTCGTGACAACTCTGAAGTATAGTAATATGTTAAAAGTGTAAAAACGAAACTCCGGCACACACTGGCCCGGCTATTGGCGGTTTGCCCATCCAAAGACATTCACAATCAACGATGCAGCACTACCAATGCCAAGCATATGTGTTTTATTGGCTTTGAAACAAACACTCCGGTCCATACCAAAGGATGACAAGATGTCTGGCACGTCAACACGAGCGGTCACCTTGTAAATAATTGCTATGTAGTTTAGTATTCGATCCACTATAGCTACTTTTGTATCCTGGACGTTGGAAAAGTACTAACGTGCCACAGTCAAAGCCCATACCCTCAATAGAAGATGGATTCACCGATCAATGACTGTGACTCTCTGCAACAGAGCGAGTGGTGTACATAGTCTGCTGGAAACTACTTGGACTAAATAAAGGTAGGCATAGATTAAAGGAGCGTTACCATTGGCATGCCTGCTTCAAACAATGTTTATTGACTAACCAATCGAACATATGCCCCGCACTTGATAAACTTGTATCGAGCAATCATCGTCTCCTACACTCACGCCACGGCCCACCGGACACAGCATCGCTCTAGCAGTGACTGTATGCCGAGACAGATGGGACCGAATACACTATACACAGCCGAGACAACGATTGCTATAGCTCTGTCTATTAGACCGTCCGACAAAAGTATCTTCCCCTCGTTAAGCGGAGCTAAAACTTGTACGCTGGCGGGAGACAATACTTGCTACACTCCTTAATAACAACGGAGCAGACTCTGTAGAAACCAAAGCCAACGCCCCGGCCTAAAAACCGGCCTCAGACACTCCCCCGAAGATTATAGTACGGCCGTACCCGCCCCACACAGCACCGGGACCCATTCATGGGGACGATGCGAGGTAGTGTGAGAGTGAACGCCCTGCACTCCATGTAGAGAGTCCTGTCGTACCGTCTACTGGAGGAGACAACCGTCCGCCTGTTAAAAGGCCCTTTCTCTCACTCCCAAGACCATACACCCACCACCCCCACAGACACCAGCACTGTCAGCCGCCAGCAAGCATCCTGGGGCAACCAGGTATAGACGGGGTGGTTGTTGGGGTTTGCTGGTTGTGGGTACGTACGGTGCACGCAATGGCACTACCAATGACGACGCTACAGCTGCGGTAGTGGGCGAGTTTGGGCTCCCCCCTCACACGCCCACACCCGTGCTTGTGATAAAGGCCGGTCTTTCTGACAGCATCGGGCACTAGTTGTATTCGTTCCATTTGTTATCAATTAGATGAGTTCACAAGCACAGAGCACGCGCGTGCGTGTGTGTGTGGGTTGTGCGTGCGACGGTTTGGGCTAACTTTCACACACACACACACGCACGCACCTCCGTTACTTTCACACACCTTCGAAAGTGCGTCAGGCTTGCACACAAAGCATAGCCTTCTAAATCCAACATTACAAGCATCTCGGATACACAACTGCTGGAACGTCGCACAGGCCTTCGTAGTAAGACCTTCGTGGTACGCAAGTGCGCCATGATAAATGGTTGCATTGTCCTGCTGATACCAATTGATATGGTTGTACGAGTGCTATCGCGAGCGCCTGTCGCCGTCGTTTACTATGGTGTCTAGTTGTACCGGGCCACCAGGTAAACCTGGGTTGGGAAAACTTGGCATCGATAAACCTGGTTTAGGGAAGCAAATAGCTACTTGCCACTCCAAACCTGCTCTGTCGTCACTGGCGGGGCCTCTGAGCCACTTGTACATAAGTCAGCCGAGCGTGTCACACGACTGGTCAATCAGAGGTCTCCCGCATGCTTGCGCGAGAGAGATGCATGTATGCGTGCACCGTGGCGTAGCAGCACATCGGTGGGAAGGTGAACCCTCCGTTCAATTCACGCGCCACTCGCTAGTAGTAGCCACACGCGCACAGACTATCTACGTCGCTGTACCAGACACGGCCCTTCGGTAATCGATTGTCGTACGCAAGTCAAGTGGTGCCTCAGAGTGTGCCTACTGTTTGGTTGGTTGGCGTCATGCCACGCACTCAGGGATAATGTAACATCCCGCCTTTTACCCTTTTACGTAGTACCGGCTTGTTCATGGGCCTGTTCATAAGTGGTGTGCGTGTAAATGCAATCTCTCCCATTTGTATCAGCTGCCGCCATTCTGGCAACACACCCGGCGATCGAGTTCCGTGACATACTCTCCACGTAGGCCGGTGTGGATCACGTTTTCACTAGCGAACGGGCCTCTGCGCTCACCCCAGACCTAACTACGCAGTGAAAACACTAGGCAGTTAAGAAAGTCCTAACTACGCAGTGGAAATGGCCACACCCACGCTTCACTCCGCGGAACAACGTCATTCCCCTAAGCCCGTGAACGTACACAGGCCACATTCTCCTCCTCACTCGGGCCACAGGGAACACTGTAGCGCTTGTCTGATTGGTACAAATGACACTGGACTCCCATCATTTCATCACAGCCTTTGACTCCATGGCCTCAGCCGCCTGTGGATAGTAAGGGGTTATGCGCAAAGTAGTTATTAACCGAGAAGTGAAGATATCTGGCCGAGGACCTGAATCACTATGGAACGTAAGTACAACTACGACTGCTGCATATGTGAGCATATGAACTATAAACGTTAAGCGTGGTGAGTATTGAGAGCGACGTGACTAAGGATACACATGCGTATAATTACCACCAATCACTGCGTCCTGTTAAACTACAGGAAAGGGAAGAACCGCAAATGGATCGGCCAATGAGTCACCGCACATGACATAATCGGTAAGTTTCATTCCCATCTGCCAATCATATCAAAGGAGGGCGGTGACTCCAGGATAAATACAGATACAGCAAGGAATCCCGCTTATCTTTGATAATACACCTTATCTATGACAATACACCTTACCTTTGATAATACACCTTATCTTCGATTATGCACCTTATATTTGATACTACATACATACATGATCTTTAAATCTGGCTGATATTCTATTGTGCACTAAGTGACTGTGCTGCTTTTGACGACGCCATCAAGCCGCTCCACTTGCTGATGCGGATGCGACTGTGACTACAATAACACTGTTCCCTACTACACACGGATCCAAAGCATCGTGGTGAGATGTGTTGGGCAGAGATTGTATACACACTTGTACGTGTTACATACAATAAACATACCTGCATCATTTGCTGTCGCACAAACCACTCCGGCAGGTTCAACGGCAACGTTACCAGATCCAAATCAAAAATCTCTATTAACAGCACATTGAAGTACCGGGTGCGTTCGCCCCCATACATATTGTGCTGCAGAGTGATGGCGCGAACTAGTTGAGTTATATAAACAATACAGTGAAACGTACGAGAAATACAAATCGGTAAGAAACAAGGTTTGTACTGTGTATACACGCCCTCGGAAAGCGGGTACAGGATCATCCACACCGCCAGCTGAACAATATCGGCAAAGATTCAATTCATGATTGCTGTTCGGAGGCACAGGGCAAATGTACACTGGTGAGAAACATCGGGAACTCTGCCATTCACCCTAAACCACTTACCTCACTCAAGATCGCATTCAAATTCCAATTTTGCAACCGTCGGAGGCAACCCACCAGAGTGCCGGTCTGATATATACCAAACCTACAGCACAGCAATGAGCCAGCGAGTGCCAAGAAAAAATCCGTGTCAATATCGGATTTTAAAATTGGATTGAAATGTTTTGGAAATCATCAGCACATGTGTGGCATTGATCGGTTCTATAATGTCAGATGTCGAACACATTCAGATGTAGCAAGTACAATTGTCATTGCGAAGTGCCACACCAGCGTAAATTCTGAGGCGAAACAAAACAATGCCGATAAGTGCACGTAAACAAACACTCAAAATAATTAAAATGAGACTGTAGATTCCCCTTCCACGATTGTGTACCTGAAATTGAAGTCAACACCTTCCTTAGACTTACAGCTTTCCAACATAGCACATATGTTCTACATGAACGAGTACAAACCTGGGGTACGCGCATCTATAAGAACACGTTGTATACATAACTTTTGCGGAGTGGTAGGTTTACATTGCCATATCCGCACTACACAAATGACTATTTATCTACCCAGCAGTATCCTAAATCATGCAAATAGTATATGTATATATATATATATATATATATGTATATATATATTCATAAACAAAACAACGAGATCAGAACACATGTCTAACAAGACCTACGTACGTGCATGTGACCATGATAGGGTGGCGTTCCACATCCAATACGTACTGTAGACCCTCTTTGAGCATTTCATCACTCATGGGTTTCCAACTCGCGGACGACCATGTGAGCTTACCCAGATGTATCTGTATCAATATTTACATATACACACACACACACACACATATATATATATATATATATATATTTATGTATCATGTGGTAGCCTTAGTACGGTTGTAATATGGAGACAGCAAGAACCTCGCAGATAAGTTAATTGCGACTAGCAAATGGTGGACGTAATGTTTCGTGAATTAATACAGCAACAATGAACTTCTCCGACGCCGTGATAATCAACAGGCGCAGCGATGTCGATCAGGCCAGATTTCAATGACATGGTTAAATGGCCCAGACTTGTACTACTCTGAATGACGACAACGAGCTATACCAGTGTACGGTTGACAAAGAGATAATAACCTGTGATTTCTCATCACTCCCATTCTTATAGCAGCAAAGACATAAATTTACTATGTATAAACGTGCACGAGTATAAATGGTTATAATACCATACTCAACTATGCATACACAACTACAAAGTCAATAAACGTCTGTGATATTCACGAAAATGTGACAGGTAATAGAAAAGTACGATAAGAAACACAAAACATATATATACACACACGCTCACACGCTCACGCACACACCCACCCACCCCCCCCACCCCACCACACACACATATATATATATATATATAATAATACTACCACCACCACCACACACACACACACACACACACACACATATATATATATATATATATATAAACGTCTATACCAATGTAAATGGATTCAAATATCTAATAACTTGATTGGTAGATAAATATATGATTTCGAGCGCATGCAAACGCACAACATAATATACCATACCATATCAATACCATTTTCATCCAGAAATTCCGTAACAGCCCTTACTGGACGCTCTGGTGAGAGAACCACTACAGTTTTTAGTTTCAGTTTTCTGAGAAAAGAGAAGTTGGCATGGTATGGAATATTTGACCTGTAGTGACAGGAAAAGAGCAAAGGAATTTAGAATAGAAAGCCCAACACATTAAGTGCACCAAAAGGAATCCTCGTTTTATTCTGCCTGGCAATACACGTATGTACAAAGATATTGAAAAGTAAATACATACATAGATAAACACGCGCAAGTATATTCATAAAATATACACATCACACGCACACGCACATACACATACACAC